TGACCCCCTGCCTGGTGTCTATTTTATTCTATAAGAGCCATATATAAAGTACTGTAACAGGGGAGCTGCTTGTCCCATGAATCTTTAATTAAAATAAACTTTCAACTTTTCATCTTTGTCCTTTAAATTTTTCCTTGTTTTAAAGAAGTGTTTGGCATTTTTTAAAGGGGAAAGGAATGTCTTCACACTCAAAATATTCTTTTGCGTTTTCCCCTATCAGTCTGAACCATGATCTTATTCTATGTGAACTTCATTGGAAGACCTTATCCCACCCATCCTGTAGCCCAATATTGCCCTTTCAGATGATTGTTCCCAAACGTTTGAACTTTTAAAAAGAACACAATTTGAGTCCTTTGAGGATGCCCCAACTGTGATTTTAACGTGCACATCAAACAGCCCAGAATTCTTCAGGAAAGGATTAGGGAAGGAAACTAATTTATCATTTAAATATTTTTATTTCATTAAGGTTTCTGTGGTTTTACAGCTGTTTGATTTAACCTCATGTACATTTATGTGCTATGTATGTAAATATAAGCACAAGTATAATGTCTGTGGATTTGGTTCTATAGTTTTTTTTATGGTGAGGGACAAAACATTTAGATGAAGTATAATCAAGTCCCCCTCACTCTTAAGTTTGTTGTATTGTGGTGGCTGTGTGTTCCTGTGACAGTTGAAGTTATGCTGGTATTTGAAGTACATAGTGGATAGGTTTCAGTAGAGCTACACTAAGAAGCTAGGAGGGAGGAAGAGGTAAAATGGTTTTTGTCTGAGTGATTAGCCACTGAAAGCTTCAAGCAGCAGAACATTGTCTGATATTGTGCAGAGATGATTTTTTTTTTTTTTTTTGAGGCTGGAAGGAACTCAAAACAGGAAGTGCAGCCTCCTCAAACTAGAGTGGACCTTAATTAATGGCGTAGAAGGAGGGCAAAGTAGTGCTGATGGGGCACTACTCAAACTGATGATAAACAATTATAAACATCGATCCAAATGTGGAATGTTTTCAAAGTATTAATGGAGGAAAACTGGAAGTAGTCAAAAATGAAATTGAATGCATAAAGATAGGCCACTTTGAATTGGTTTACTCTGCCAGGAACGTCAAATTCAAGTGAAACGGTGTTGCATGTTTATCATCTTTAAGTACATTGCTGTCTCTGATACCTATATGCCTATAAGACCAGTTAACTATGATTCAAATTTTCACACCAACCACTACAGCAGTGGTTCTCAACCTTCCTAAAGCCTCGACCCTTTAATACAGTTCATGTTGTGGTGACCCCTCCCCCCATAAAATAAATTTCATTGCTACTTCATAGCTGTAATTTTGCTACTGTTATGAATCGGATGACCCTGTGAAAGGGTCGTTTGACACACCACACCCCCTCCGGGGTCACAACCCACAGTTTGAGAACTGTGACACTACAGCCAAGGATGAGTTGAAAAATTTTACCAACTTCTATAGTTGGAAGATGATCAATCAATCAAGATGCAGATAATTCTGGTGATTAGAATAAAACGGAAAAGGGCTCACTGGTTGTACCTGGCCTTCATGGTAGAAATGAAGCTGGAGAATGCATGATAGATTTAATAAGACTAACAAAATTCCTTGAAAATATTTTTTTTTTTGGTCAAGCACATTTGTACATATATTACCCTCATCATTCTCAAAACATTTGCTTTCTACCTGAGCCCTTGGTACCAGCTCATCATACCCCCCCTCCCAAAACCCCCCCCCCCCCTCAGGAAAACTTGATAATTTATAAATTATTATTTTGTCATATCTTACACTACCCGCTGTCTCCCTTTACCCACTTTTCTGTTGTCCGTCCCCCAGGGAGGAGGTTATATGTAGATCCCTGTAATCGGTTCCCCCTTTCTACCCCACCCTGCTGGTACCATCACACTACCATCACTCTCAGCACTGGTCTTAAAAGGATCATCTGTCCTGGATTCCGTGTTTCCAGTTCATGTGCCAGTGTACATCCTCTGGTCTAGCCGGATTCGTAAGGTAGAATTGGGATCATGATAGTGGGGTGGGGTGGGGGGTGGAGGAAGAGGAAGCATTTAAGAACTAGAGGAAAGTTGTAATGTTTCATCTTTGGCAAATACCTTTTTCAACAACATAAACAGTGACTGCATACAGGGACCTTGCTGCATGGAACATACAGACAGGAATCAAATTGGCCAAATTGGGAAAAGATGATGGAGATGCTCAAAACCAAGCCAAAGTCGGGTACTAGAGCAAGAAGTCTAACCTACAGTGAAGGCATCAGTGAAAGACAAAGCTCCAGAAACTGATGGGATACTTGTTCTTAAACACAGATGAGGTAGTGCTTCCAGTATGTATGCAAAGAAATGTGGAAGACAGATACCTGGCCAACGAGATCTATATTTGTTACCATTCCAAAGAAAGATGACCCAGTGGAATGCAGAAATTCTTGAATAATATCCTTAATATCACACGCAAGCACACAGGTGCTGGAGATAATTAAAAAGATAGTTGCAGAGTGCATAGACAAGGAGCTATCAAAAATTCAAGTCAAATTCACAAGGCTGGGAAAAGGGATAGCATGTCTACTGTCACAGGGATCTTGGTTGAAAGCTGAGAATACTAGAAAGGTTTTTAAACTATTGTACTAACAGTTTCTTTCATGAAAATTAACACGTCTGGTCCCAAGAAAGTGGAGGTTTAATATATCCCAAAAGTCCCACCTTTGCACACTGCAATACCACTCCATCACTTCCCACAGCAACCACCTTCTCCCTTTAGTATATTCCCGTACATCGCAGGATTCTGCAATTTTTTTTGTTAATGGCCACTCCATTTAGAATGTAAAGGTAACTGGCTCACGTATTGTTGGTGCTAGCTGGTAAACTTCAAATGAAAATTCAGCTGGATCCTCCTCATGCCCATGCTGTGGAAGCTGGTGAAATCAGGTCTAAGAACCAGATGCTTTGAAGGATGTGTTCCACTTGGGCTCTCACTGGTAGTGAGATCTCCTCTCCCACTTCTCAGCCGGCTCGTTTTATACTCCGCAGCAATGGCAATCCCCTTGTACTCTGTTATCAATTACTCACAGGTGACTCTCTTCAGTGTCTTCTCCACCTTTCAAACTCAGAAACATGTACGAAAAGGTAGCTTGGGGCTGTCTATAAGAATCACATTAAATAATTCCTGCCCCTACATTTATGCAAAGGTATTCCAACTG